ACCTCGTAACCCGGGGTAGGTGCTTTACAGGTGGCCACTTTCAGCTCATTTTGCTGTGGATTTCACATCCCTGTGAGGCAGCTGGGGCAGTTACTATTATTCCTATTTTACAGCTGAGGGAACCAAGGCCTGGAGGGGCTCCGATGACTCACTGTAAACAGGTTAACAAGGTCCTGCTGCTGTGAGTCATCCTCCCAGGCCAAAGCCAGCTGGGCCCCAGCACTGTCTAGATCGTCCTATCAGCTGTCATAGGACAACCTGCCTTCAGAGTCATCTCGGAGGTGATCTATGCTGTCTCTGGGACCCACCATTGACGGCAGGACTGCGGAGCCACCATTCTTCCCACGCACCCACCACCCACTCTCCGCCAGTGTTCTCAGACCTTCAGGCTGCAGGGCTGAACATTGTGAGAGACTGATCAAAAAATATCCTGACCTCTAATTCTCTGCTAAACCCAAGCAGACCTCACCTTCTAGAAACTACTGTCGTCGCACGAGTAAGGATTCAGTGTGAAAGAAAATGCAAAGTGATAAGACACTTCAAATCATTTACATTGAGCCCTTTCAGCCCATGCATTCACAGTCATCTGAGGGCTGTGAACAGAGCAGCATAATTCATCTCTAGCGGGAACAGAGCAACATCATTTATCTCTAGCGAGAACAGAGCAGCATAATTCATCTCTAGTGGCCATCCCCTTTGACATCTCTGAGCTTGAGAGCAACTGCCTCTCAGAGTGCAGGGCTGGAAAAAGAGCAGGGGATGGGCTAGCATTTCCTTGTGAAAGTACACATCAAAAGCTCTATCATCCATGAAATCTGATGTGCTCTGCCTCACATGAGCTCAGCTGCCAGGGACCTCATCCCAGAAGCTTCCATCCCTCCCCCCTGAGAAGATACAGAAAGAGAAGTAACGCCAATTAATTTCCTGGTAACCACTGGAGGGTCACTCTTTGATGCTCAGCCAAGAAGGGCATCTCCAGCTTGGGGGTCTGGAGTAGAGAACTGAGAGTGTCAGATCACAGGGCAGATGGGGCCAAAGACAGTCTTGAATGAGGCCGTCTGATCCAGGGCCCAAAATCTTTGAAGTCGAGGTCCCTGTGTGAAGTTCCCATTGCCCTGATCTCTGCCCATTTGCACCAAGAGAGCACAGAATTCACTGCAAGTTATGGACTTCTTTGGGTCATTTTTCCCTCCTGCTTCTCACATTGTAATGTGCATACAAATCCCCCTAGGGATCTTCTTAAAACAGATTCTCAGTACATCGGGGGCAGCCCGAGAGTCTGCATTTCTAACAAGCTCCCAGGTGACGCTGATGCCGTTCTGGTCCACAGACCACACTCTGGGTCTCGAGGCCCTCATTTAGTTTCCACCGAAGGCCAAGTAGGCAGGGGAGATGTTCAGAGGTCAGGACAGACAGGTATCATGTGCAGCCACAGCATCAGTGACAGCAGTGAGTGGGGCTCCTTCTCTTTAGAGAGCCTCCCATCCCAGTATTCAAAGATGGCCCATGGTGTCCCCAAAATAGTTTGATCTTTTTTCCAGCATCTCCTGAAGGCATTTAATCAGCAGTTACTCTCTTCCTTCCTCTGCTCACCTAGTGCCCACACTGTTAGAACCAGGTAACTCGAGAGCTCCTGAAGATGGCCACGATCATCGGACAGGAGCTGCTCACCCAACAACTTCATCACTTTGCAGGCTAGCACATACAATGGCTAAAAACCAGCATTCGTGCCAGGCTTCTTGGGGTTTATCTGGATTTTGCCTCTTATAAGCTGTAAGGCCTTAGAGAGCTTCTCAGAACTTCAGTTTCTTCATCACTAAAAAGGGGGTAATAATACGGTTGAAGTAAAGAGTACAGATATCTCATTGCACTATCTATAAAGTGCTAGTGCATAATAAGTACCCAATAAACATTAGTTACCACAAACAGCATTATAATCTATTATTATTCAGAATTAGAAGCTATTCAGAATTAAAAGCTCAATCTGCCATGAAACTGATTAGCTAGCTACCAGAAGCTGCCTTGGAGCCCAGGGTTTATTGCATCCCCCAAATCTCCCTCTCCTCTAAGATTGCTTACCCATTGATAAATGATGGAAGACAGTCCTTTGGGAGAGACACCGGAGGTCTCCCATTTCCAACCTTTGTCACCCAAATGATAAACCTCAGGAAACTTGACAAGCAAGTCTAGGGTTAGATATTTGTGTCAAGGTATGTCTGCTTTAAACACAGGGGGCTGTATTAGATCCTAGGGCTGCCATAACAAATTACTAAAAGCCAGGTGGCTTAAACAATAGAAACTTATTCTCTCAGTGCTGGAAGCTAGAAGTCTCATATCAATTGTCAGCAGGGCCACGCTTCCTCTGAAGGCTCTAGGAGAGGATCCTTACTTCCCGCTTCCAGGTTCTGCTGGCTGTGAGCATTCCTTGGCTTGTGGCAGCACAACTCCAGACTCAGTCTTCACATGAATTTAGTTCTATGTGTCTCTCTGCCTTCTCTCCTTATAAGAACACCAGTCTTGGATTTAGAGTCTACCCTAAACTTAGGATGATCTCATCTCAAGATCGCTAACTACATTTGCAAAAGCCCTATTTCCAAATCAGGTCACATTCTGAGGTTCTGGGTGGACATGAATTTTGAAAGAACAGTATTCAACCCACTACAGGGACAATCACCAGAAAATGGCCCAGGCCCCGTTCTCAGCTACCTTGCAGTAGGCACCCTTTATATACACATGTGGACTGTGCGGGACAGAAGCGCACTTGGGAGCGAGAAGCATGCCTTTCTTCCCATCCTTCCCTCCAATGCCAAAGGACCACACCTGCAGGAGCAGAGCTTAGAGTACAAGGAGTCTGGAAGACGTCACTCACAAACAACTCAAGGCTTGGGAGATATTCAGCCTTGACGGTAATGTCTGGGTGCTGCACAGCAAGAATGAGTCATTACTGCCTGCAGTGCCTGGAGATGCAGGATGGTTGGGACATTATAGATGCTATAAAAGCAGGGGCTGAAGGAAGACAGCACTTGGCTTCATACAAAGACCTTTCCAAAGATGTGGCTTCCTCCCTTTCCACCTGCCCCTGGAGTGTGGCTGCTCCCTGAAGCTCCACTCTCAGCCCGTTCTCACTCAGCACCCTCCACAGGAGTCCAGGGCAAGCCACTGGGTGGTCTGGATACAGAGATGGGGGGATGCCCAGTTGCTTATCACTGCCCCACTCCTCTTTCCTGAGCTCCAGTAGACATTTGCTCTCTACTGGGGATCTCCACCAACCACTCTCAGAACTAAAAGCAAAATTCATTCCACTTTTATTCATTATCTTTACCACTGCACCCAGACTGATCTCCTGCCTTTATCCCACAGAACAGGGTTTCTCAACCTCTGCACTATTGACATTGTGGGCTTGATAACTCTTCATTCTAGGGGGCTGTCCTGTGATTTATGGGGTATTTACCAGCCTCTACTTCATCCCCGGTCTCTACCCATGAGACGCCAGTAAACCCTCAACCCCCTGAGTTGCAATCATCAAAATTATTTCCAGGTGTAGTCAAATGTGCCCCGGGAGGGAAATCTCCTGGGTTGGGAGCCATTGCCACAGAGGAACCTCCCAGTAACTGATCCAAAATATGAGCGGCAACCTAAACTCACCCTCCTTCTTCAACCCCCATCCAATTGGGCCTGTTTATCCTGCAGTGCCTCTTCTTCTCACCCTTCTCAAATCTATCCCAACCTCTCCAGCTCCAGTGTTGAAGCACTAGTTCAGGGCTTTGCTGTCCAGCTGGGCTATCAGAACAGTTCCCTAACAACTCCCTCTGCTGTTAGTCTTGCTAGCATTAGATCTGTTGGATCCATTTCTGTACAGCCCCTGAATCCTCTTTCTAAAGCAAACCCTTGGCCACATCACTCCCCTTCTTAAAACCCTTAAGTGGCATCTCACTGCCTACCAGATAAAATCTAAATCAATCTGGCCCAAGAGAACTTTCTGAGGTGAAGAGAAATGCTTTCTATCTATGCTGTCCCATATGGCAGCCACTCGTGGTTACTGAACATTTGACATGTGGCTTGTGTGACTGAAGTCCTGAATTATTTTTAGTTTACCTCAAGTATATTAATCTACTGTACAGTACAGGTCTACTTGCTTAATATAATCTGCATAACCTTAAATGATCTTCTAGAACATTGGGTCTCAGCTGGGATTTGAATCAACTAGGAAGTTTTTAAAAATCCTAATACTCAGTCACCTCTGGGGGTGGGACACAGGCAGTGGCATTTTTAAAGCTTCACAGGTGATTCTTTGGTGCATGTAAGGTTGGGAACCATTTCTCTAGACCCTGCCTACCTCCCAGTCACACACCTCCAGGGTTCCCCAACACACACCTCCTGCCCAGCTCCATCTGTGCAGTCATTTGCATTTTCCTAAGAATTTAATGCCATTTTATGCCTTCATGTCCTTATCCACATTCTGCTCCCTCTGCCCAGAACGCTCTCATCTACCCTGTTTAGGTTGGCACCCAAATATGGGATGAGGTTTGGATGGGGAGCACTCCTGGGCAGGACAGGACTGAGTCCTCCAGGAGTGCCGAGGGGGATGCTGAGTCTTTATGTGCCCAGACAGGACAGGACGCCACAGCGGCCTCCATCCAGAGAAGAATGTGCTGAGGAGCAAAACAGTTCTGGGTGGCCAGGCCTCCCCAGAAAAGCTACCTGCTTTGGTTAGTTTTTCCAGATAATTTCTTCAAGTTCTGCTTCACGTGGTCACCAAACACTAGCCCTCAGTCTCCTCATCCATAAAGCAGAGATAATTATGGTATCTACTTCATAGGGTGGTTAGGGGAATTAAAGGAGCTGATACACATTAAGAGCTTAGAATGACACCTAGCACATGAGAAACATTCCATAAATGTCACTATCACTACTAGTATCATGGACTGAGCTGGGACTTTATAAACATTTCCTAATAGAGTGTTGTATAGGTAAATTATATCGAACGTTGCAATGTCCCATATGCTGTACGTGCTTAGCACTTTATTACCTCATTTAGCCCTCACAATAATAGCGATGTATTATGGGAACTGTTATTATCATCCTTATTTTACAGATGAGGGCATTGAAACTCAGAGTGGTTGATGACTTGCCCCAAGGTCACACAGCGAATATGCGATAGTGCCAGAATTTGAGTTGGCTACAAAGTCCATCTCCTTGTCACATCTGTCCTGACTTCCAGGCTGTGTGATGCCATCTGGGCTCGGATGCAAACCTCAGCAGAAAATGTGGCCTCTGAGCCACCCCACTTTCCTGCTGACCTCCTGATGTGGTGGGGGTGAGCTGGAGCTGCAGAAGCACTGGCAGAGTAGACAGTTGGAAGCACTTCATTGGCTCTTCACAAGCTCTGTAAATTGGGACTTCTCCCCGTTTTATAGACGAGGACATGGGCTCAGGAAAGTTACAGCAAGTTGCCCAAGATGATCCAGCAAAGAAGTGGCAAGTAGAGTGGTGTTCAGACTGAAGGCTGACTTCAAAGCCACTGGAGACCTGTAGCTCCTTGTATCTTCACAAAGCTTGTGCAAGTTGTTTACAGAGACTTGGAGCCTTTTGGAGGACTTCCTACAAAAGGAAGTAAGGTTTCTGCCTTTGTCATCCAACCATTGCCATGGTCTCTGCATGCTTTTAGCAATTAATTACCACTATTAATTTCCACGATTACCCAGCTCATTACATTTCTTTGTTAATGTTGATTGCTGGCCCTGGAGCAGGCTGTCGTTTTGAAAAGGGGCAGCTAAACCCACTGCAAAGGTGTGCCCCAGCACAGTCACCTGCAGTCCAACCTGGTGTCACAGGAAACCACCCAGGCCAGGCACTAAGACTGCTCAGTGAGTTTAAATGCCTGCATCTCCCAGCAGCCACACCTGGGATGACTTGATGAAGAGATACCCAACAGATAGAACCAGCTGTCAGCCACTTAGAAACACCTAGAGACTCAGGGTATGGGAGAGCCCTGGACAGGAAGTCAGGAGACCTTTGTCCATTCTCTACTGCTGATGACGCTGTGTTCTCACCACAAACTCCCTGCAGGCTCCTGATGACACTGTGTTCTCATCACTAACTCTCAGCCCCTGCCCTGTGCTGCCCACCTTGGGGCTTAGCATCCACCTGCTCACATGCAGCTTTGTGGGGAAGCAAGAAAGGGATGCTTTTACACCCTTTTTATTGGGTATGTAAGGGCTCACCTCTGAGCTAGTCATGCTGCCTTCAGCACACCCTAAGAAGCAGTCCTCATCCCCATCCCGTGTCCTGACCTCCAGGCTGTGTGATGCCATCTGGGCTCGGATGGAAACCCCAGCAGAAAATGTGGCCTCTGAGCCACCCCACTTTCCTGCTGACCTCCTGATGTGGTGAGGGTGAGCTGGAGCTGCAGAAGCACTGGTGGAGTAGACAGTTGGAAGCACATTCTTGGTACCAGAGCTGGACCTGGAGAGTGGCTCCAAATCCTGAAGAGCTGCAGGGATGCATGTGGAGGGCAAATCTGTGTGCCTAAGGCCTGCCTGGAGTGAAGGGGAGTGCAGCCAACCCAAGGACAGTGGCTAGGAGAGGGGCCACTGGATTCTTGTGTCACCACGTCTGTGCTGTGCAGCACTGCAGGCTCTGGGTCAGGGTGCAGCTTGGGGGAAAGGCATGTAAAACCCATTACACCTCAGAGCCAGTGGGATGTGGAGGCAAGGGAGACTAATCTTTAGAAATGGAACAGATGATCCACTCCACTGCAGTGCCTAGAGAGGGGCCACCTGCCAGCCCAGGGTGGTGTCAGGGGAAGCATAACCATCTCTGGCTTGCTCCAGAAGAAATTGCTGGAATGTCCCCAGGAGCCCAGCAGAGGGCTAGCAGAACAGGGTGGGTGCTTTGGGCTCCAGAACCAGATGTAATCCCAGAAGAGCCAAGCATGATGACCCAAACTGGAACAGGGGCTTCTAACCAGGGCCTAAGGCCTGTAAGGGTGCACATGGGCCTGGGACCTGGGACTCTGAGGTCAGTGTGATCCCAGGGAAGACTCAAGTCTGGGGCATCCAGAGAGCTCAGCAGGGCAACAAGCAGGACGATGGGCTGAGAGCTTTGGCTCGGAAATACAGCAGTCTGGTGTGCACAGGCAGCCCCTTCAAGGAGTGGGGGACAAAGAGAGGCAGCAGCTGCCCCCCACCAACCACTGACTAACACTCCAGACCCAACATTCATTCTGCACAAGGAGAGAAGGGTCATCAGGGATGGGCCTGATGAGGAAGACCTTGTAACACCATGGATGTGGGGACCCTGAAGGGTCAGCACCTCCTCTGGGGTTGAAAAGGAGCATGGTTTTGCCCAGTTTAGCTCTGGAACCTGGAAAAGGGAAAGGCTTACCCAAGGTCACACTGCAGGTAGGCAGCAGAGGCCGGAGCAGATGCCAGATCACATGGTGCCTCCACAGCACCTGGTGGCCTCCCCTGTAACAACATAGAATTGAGAGTGCAGCTTTTTCTCTCACACCTGGGCAGTGCCATTCCTAAGCACCCACGTGCCCCAGGTTGCCCTGCACAGAACGTTTCCCTACCACTTGGCTGGTGATTTGTCTTGTAATCATTACTATTAATTTTAACTTTGGAGGGCATCCAGCATACTCGATCTCACGTAGTGGAGTCCTCTTCTGATTCTGCAAGGTCTTCTGAATTCCTCTTTTGCAAATAAGGAAACTGAGGTTCAGATAGGCTAGGTAACTCACTCAAGGTCACACAGCTAATTAGTGGCAGAGCCTGGATTCAGACCCTTTACTGAAACCCCACTGGCGCGAGTCAGCATGTCCACACACTTTCACCCACCTATGACAGTCTATGGCTGTCTGTTCCTCTCTGGCCCCCTCCTAGCCATGTAGACCACCAGAGAACAGGCTTTCAATTTCTCCTTTTAAAATTTGCTCACCTTAGTCTTCAAAGACAAATGCCCTGATGCTGACCCAAGGGAATGCTGAAAATCACAGGTGGAGAGGTAAGGCCCTCTGCTCTGGAGGCCCCCTGCTAAAATGAATCAACACCAGCTGGACCTCCCTCAGGTTCAAGATGAGATCATTCCCTGAAGCAGGAAGCCTCCCACCAGACCAGTCCTTGCTTTTTCTCTGGAACAGGGATGGGGGTGGCCAGCGCAGGGGTCTACGTTGCAGAGCATCTTTCCCCAAGGGAGCTACAGATACTGCAGGTGCTTAAGTCTTCGTGAAGCCTGCATTCAGCCTGGCCTTTGCAAGGAGACAGGTCCACAGAGCCACAGTACAAATCTCACGCAGAGTGTACAGTAATAAAAAGAACAAAAGAGCATACTGTAACAGCTCTCCTTTCCAGAACTGAAACATGCTTGAACTAAGAGGATTCATGTAAAGAACCCAGGTCAGAGGCTGCACCGTCTCATCTGTGAAATGAGAAGAATAAACAAGAAAAACATTCACCTCCATGGGGAGTCTGAATAGACACATTAATCCCTGGGCATAGGTGCCCAGTACAGATTAGCCCAATTTAAGCAAACAAAAAACTATGATGAAGATGTTTCTTCTGCTGAAAAGTGTTTTTATCATTTGTCTCTTCACATTTTGAGATTGTGTCTCTAATTCTAAAGTAATCCATGTTATTCACTTTAAAAATTTTTTTAAACATAAAATATACTGAGCAGCTTTCACTCAAACCAAAATTAAACACCTTTGCTAATCCCACCGTTTCGTTTAGTCTATAAAGAAGTGAATGCTTCCCCCCTCTCCCAACGCCTCTCCCTACTGGTAACAACTATTAATTCCCTGGTGGTTCCTTCCAGGCCTTTATCTCTGTTTAAATAAACACCTGTTGACATATGCAATAGATAAATAATGATCAAAGGCATTCTAAGTATCTTCCTCATGTAAGAAAGAATAATAAGCATGTTAAATAAGAAGAAAAAAATATAATGTTTTAAAATATAAATAGAAAGGGCACCCTATCTGACCCTGCACAGCTGCCTCCCGCCCTGTGCCCTGGGTCAGTGGGCAGCCAGGGCTGCAGGGAGTGGCTGTGACTCAGTCTGACTACTGACCCAGGCAGACAGGGGAATGCAGGCAGGAAATGTCAGGAGCCCATCAGGGGAATGGGGTTTATCGATGTGGCATCGGCACCTGCCTCTGGGGAGCTTCAAGAAGTGCTCTGCATCGAGCTGACAGGTCCATTAGTTGTCAGCTCTGGCCATATCTTACTGGACTGGCAAAGCAGCCACAGCCAGCCGGAAGACACGCCCAGATAACACGATCCTGCAGGGTGTAACAGGACATCATGCCTTTGCTGGTAGTCATAATAAATACCAATTGCTGAGTAACAACAACACGGGGCGTTTTTTGCTGGTATCCTATTTAACCCCCTCACAACACTCCTGAAAGATATATAGCTATTATTGACCCCACTTGTAAACGGGGAAACCGAGGCTCAGAGGAGTGAAGTTACCAGTCCAAGATCACAGGAAGAGGGAGAAAGCCCACATTTTCATCACACTCCCTGTGGTCAGAGGTGCAGTGCATGGTCTCATACTCTTCATGTTACCCCACAGGAAAGATAATTTTCTCCCCACTTCACAGATGAGGAAATCGAGACTGAGAGAAGTCAAAATCTGCATCCTCCCAATCAGAAAACCCTATTCTTCCCTTCTGGGGCCCAGTGTGGAGGCGGTGCTGGGAAATTCTGAGAAGGGCAGGTTGCATAACATCCTCGTTCTCCGCCAAAAGCTGCAAACACCCACTTACCCCATTCACGAATCTGGGCAATGAGTGGTGGGAGTCAGGGAAAGATATTTTAAAAAATTATCTTCAGTCAGGGAATTTCACAGTATAATTATATAGCGAGCACACCAAATTAGCAGAAAGAGGGGACTGCCAGATGCAGCAGCCACACACCACTGCCTACATCCCCATGTTCGCAGCCGGCTCACAGCCTCTGGGGTGGGCTGGGGAACTCTCCCTCTAGATCCTAAATACACACGACTCTTCAACTAATAGAAAGACATCACTGGAAGACTCCACAAAGACCATACACCCCAATCCCCTCACCTTACACTTAAGGAAACTGAGGTCCCAGACGAGAAGCTGTGTGTTTGAAGTCACGCCCTGATAGGCTCAGGACTAAGGGCTGGTCCTCTAGCTCCAGCCCCTGCCTCCAGACCCACCCAGCTCCTCTGGAGCCAAGAGACAGAAATAAACCATGCTTGGGCTTTTAGAGTCCAAAATAAATGCATGTACAGCTCTTTCCATTGTTACCATGGTTATAGATAACAAGGGCTGTGGCAAAGCACAGCAAATTAGTTAATGATGAAAGAGAAACTTCCAACAGTGACATGTTCTGCATGAACAAACTGCTTTCCTGATTCAGTGGCAGGCTGGACCCCGGTGGCAGGGCAAGTGTCTGCGGTGAGCGGGAGAGTAATTACAGTGGAGGTAAGAGCAGGCGTAGCATGTTATTTATGGCCTGTCTCCGCCTTCCTCTCTCCCTCTGTAACCAAACAGAATGTGAACAATGGAAGACTCACATGATCTGTTTCAGCCTTGCCTCCCAGGCCATCAGGAGAGGTGTTGGTTGTGTTCTTTCTGAGACCCACAGGGAGGCAGCAGCTGGCTCTGGGCAGGATGGGTGGTCAGCACTTGAGCTCAGGAGTTTGAGACCAGCCTGGGCAACACAGTGAGACCCTATCTCTACCAAATATAATTTTAAAAATTACCCTGGCATGGTAGCATGTGCCTGTATTCCCAGCTACTTAAGAGGCTGAGTTGGAAGGATTTCTTGAGTCCAGGAAGTTGAGGCTGCAGCAGTGAGCCATGATCATGTCATTGCATTCCAGCCTAGCAGACCGAGCAAGTCCCTGTCTCAAAACAACAACAAAAAGGAATTTGGCAAGGCTAAAGACTTAAGTCTTCCATGAGGCCTTGCTTGATCACTCAGTGAATTTCCTCTTTGTCCTCAAGCTCCTGAGGCACCTGGCTCCAGTCCTTACCTGTGGTGGTTTGAAAAACTGGCTGCAGTTCTTCTCCCCGCTATATCCACACCTCTCGGCAATGTGACTTTGCTGCTTCCCCCATGAGGAGAAAGAGTCCATTTCCCCTCCTCTTGACTCTGGACTGTCCTGTTAACTCATTTTGACCAACAGGATGTGCGGCTGTGCTATAAGAACTGAGTTCTTTGTCTCTGACCCAGGAGTCTCATGTCTTCTGCCAGAATCTATGAAACAGTTACACACTAACCTGTTAGCATATGAATAGGATAAAAATCAAATCTCAGATCTAACACAAACTGGCCATGTTCTTGCCCTAAGACCATCGCAGTCTCTGTTCCCTCAGCATGGAATATATTTCCCTCACCAATCCACATGGCTTATTCTCTAACTTCCTTCAAATCTGCATTAGTCCTTCCTCTGTGAAGCAGATGCTGCAATAGATTAATCATGCAAGGCTTTTATTAGGGGAAATGCCTTGCAAAAGGAATTAGGGATGGAGCAGAGGAAGGCGGGGGCTGTAGCTGGATCATGAGGCAAGTCTGATCCCAAGGGAAGGATAAAAGAGAGAAGGTAGAGTGGAAGCCTCCTCTAGTGCTGGGCAGGCTAAGGAAGTTTTGACAAAACCATCAGGGAGTCCCTGAGCTTAAGTGTGATGATGAGGAAGTCCCAACTCTCCCAGGAGACATAGCCTTCACACAAAAGCAGCGATGAATTTCAAAGTGAAATAGCCATGGCCTTCCATCAGTTATGCTCCCTGTAGAAGGTCTTGCAAGACACTTTATCATGGCCACCATAAGACCTCTGCTGAGATGCCCCAGTCTTCCCTGATCATGCCGTATGAAAGAGCAAGTCCCCCTCAACACCCTTTCATTCTTCCCTATTTTATGCTTTTTAATTGCTCTTATCACCACTGATTATGTAATTACTTGCTTACTTGTAAATTTTCCCATCTCTGACCACTAAAAGGTAAGCCTCATGGCAGCAGAAATTTTTGTCTGTTTTGTTCTCTGCTATATCCTAGGACATAGTCTTTGAATAGTCTCTGGCACTCAAAAATTTGGCTAAATGAATGAACAAATAAATGGATAAAATAAGAAATGTTTCCTGACAGGTGCTGAAGGGCCACTTGCAAACTGTATAAACCCCATGTTATAGGCTGAATATTTGTGTTCTCTTAAAATTCATATGCTGAAGCCCTAACCCTCAATGTGATGATATTTGGAGACAGGGCCTTTGGGGGGTAATTAAGGCCAGATGATATCATGAGGGTGGGCCCTCATGATGGAATTAGTGCCCTTATAAGAATAGACCAGAGTGTTTGCTCTCTCTCTCCACGAGCAGAGGAAACGCCGTAGGAGCACACAGCAAGAAGGCAGCCATCAGCAAGTCAGGAAGAGAGTCCTTAACAGAAACCAAATCAGCCAGCTCCTTGATCTTGGACTTTCCCACCTCCAAAACAGAGAAATAAATGTCTGTTATTTAAGCCATCTGGTCTGTAGTATGTATTTTATTATACCAGCCTAAGCTGACTAAGACATCCCAAGTTCGATGTTAGGTAATACTTATCAGGAAGTTTTCGGAACACTCCAAGTAATGTTCCAAACTAAGCATGTGTTATTCTACATAACTT